TTGAATAGCACACTCCCACCAGGATGAAGAAAAATTGAATTTATTGAAAGTGCTAATTCCTTATAAAATACACAATCTGCATAAACTGTACTTTTATTATAAGACTCCCAAAATTCATCCCTGCAAAGAGAGCAGTCCCATCTGTAAATGCACCCAGTGTTTCATCACAGAGCTCTCCTCTGACCAGTAGATGGAGATAGACAGTAACTACTAGTACATGCAATGTGTGTCTATTTTATAGATTCCATTATACTCTAATAAACTGCTTTCAGAATTTATTCCATAGAACAATCTTGGTTGCATCCTGCTGGCCATAAGCTTCCCTACAAGAAAAGATTCCTCTGGGTGTCCCTCAGTCATCACTGAATGTTAGGAGTGCTTCATAGGCAGCTTTTGAAATATTTTAAAGAATTATTTCACTGATGACCAAGATGATGAGTCCTGATGGTCTGGTGAACTGGTGTTAGACTGGAAAGCAGATGTGTTCAGACCTAACCTTAAATACAAGCTTTACTTTAAAATTGATGTCAGCAGACTTTAAGCTTTTAAACACTGGCACATCTTCATGTATAATGCTGGTCCCTTGTGTTTTGGAAATGGTGAACCAGGGGTTTCTTTATGTATTTATTCATATTCCTGTTCAACCTAGACCTCAATTTATTACTGGTACCAAATACAACCCAATTTCTAAGTTCTGTAACAGTCTGCTCTGTTTCATCAGTTTTGGTACAGTTCAAGGAAGTGTTAAATAAGTGGTAAATAGGGACATCCACTGAAAGCCCTTAAATATAGATGATGACATTTGCTGTCCGTATTTCCACTTCTGCTTAAAAACTTGTAATCTCCATGTGTAACATGCACTTCTCCTTTGATCCATACTGATAGCAGTGACCCAACACAATAGAAGGGAATGCACAATAATTATTTAATGTATATGGGGTACACTAGGCTTTTAAGACCCAAATTATATGAAGCCTGGAGTCTTTCACAGAGTCTTTTTTGGATTTTTTCATTGGCAACTAAGACTGTAGTTTTCGATAAAGCTGGAATAAGAGGCAGACACAAGGGTCTGAAAACAATGAATAGTAAATGTAGGACCTGTAAAATTCTATTTCTCATTTGATACCAAATTAAATTACGAATGCAATGAGCCAAAATCTGACCTAATTTTTGCTGGTATGAAATCAGAGAAATTAATTATTATACTAAACTGACAACAATATACCCAAAATCAGAAAATAGGCCAACAGAAAGGAAGAGAATTTTTCTTTTCTACAGAACGGGTCATGAATCTGTAAGCTAGTGGTCATATGCCATGACCCAGGCAAAGAGCTTAACAGGATTTAGAGAGAGATTAGTCATGCATACGAATAATAAAAAAATCTTTCTTATATATATTAAGGATTATAAAACTGCTGCTAGACTCCATTATCCAGAGAGACTAGACATGGGACATCCCGGTTTATGCAAAACCTGGATAATTCCACGTACAGTGGGGAGCACAGTATGAAGACACTCTACCTTCAGAGTTACTCTGGTGTTTCAGCACACCCTGGATTGATTACTGATTGCTGCAACTCTTGTTATCCAGCACCTGATCTCTGCACCACTTCAGAAACACACCTCTGAGGCACCTGGGCCAAGAGCTATTATCATCTGACCAAGCTGCTTGTCACACAGTAGAGGCTGTAGACCCCTGAGCTGCCTCTGCTTCAGATCTGTCCCAGAAAATCATGGTTAGCTTCATAGGACACTGCTTATTGGCTAATGTCCATGGAAGGACAAATCCACAACCTGAGCGACATGGGATGTCCTGAAACAAGACATCAAACTTTGTCAATAACTCAATGATTAACCCATGGAGTTAGGGTGAAATAATTCCTCAAAGCATGATTTTTAAATAAATCCTGTACAGTGAGTTGGATTTTGTTGAAACATGGCTATTTGCCCAAGTAGGCTTGATATAGCCAATGTAGCAAATAACATGTTTCCATATGAGAAAGAAAAGCTTTGCAGTCCTTGATTTGTTGTTAGAAGAGGCAAAAAGAAAAATGGGTCTGTGGTGATTACCGAAACACGAAGTCTGCACTGTCAATCTCCCGGCCACACCTGCTGTTCTTCAGAATTCCTCCGTTCCCAACCACCGCACATTTCTTAAACTGGGAGCGGTGGTATGGCATATCCTGCAAAATCACAGCAAGAAAACAGTTAAATGTCCTGAAACATGGAGACAACAAGTGTCTTTTTTACTTCTTCCCTTTTTTCTTCTGTGCAGCTGCACCTTGCTGCAGATGCATTAATCATAGGATGTGGACCCTGGTTTTGGCGTGCAGTATTCCCATGGTGTACATAAACAGATTGGATTGTTTGCTGAGCAATTAGAGATAGTATGGTCAGCAAACTTGGATGGAAAAAACCCCCCCAATAACCTGTTTTCTTTCCAGATTTAATAATGGAAGGAGTAATTTTAGACACTCCCTTTCCCTTCTGATTTTCACGTGAGGGCACCAATCATAAATTTGCACACCCCAGGCATTGTTTCCTGAGCTGTCTGCAAACTGCCTGCTCCTCAGGCTCTGATGTCCTGCTTTTGAGAAATCTGCACACAGAGTTCCAGGGCAGCCAGTAAGGGCCAAGAGATCTAAGTCAGACAGTACATTACAGCTACTCATCAGAAAGTAGCCCAAATTTTAATGCTTACTACCACTACTTGTACTAACAGTATTCATGTTTATTAATTAGCACTTATACTACCAGCATGTCCTAGAGCCTTTGGTATAGGCACCTTTTTGGACTTTAGTAGGATGCACCTTTCTGTTATCTTTGGGCAAAATTCTGTCTTCATACACAGGCATGCAGCTGCTGCTGAAGCTAGAGAATGAAAATCACATCTTGAGAACTGGGCTGTTAGGGTGAGAGGGTTGTGACGCAGAACTGAGCCATGCTTCACCTTATGAATATGTAGAGATGTGCTTATATAAGCATGAGAGTGCTTCTTTTGGTACATACATATTTTATCAATAATTTCGTACCACAAACTACAGAGGGATGCAATAGTGACTTGACATTTCTAGGTGACTATTCCCAGGATCTTTCCACAGCATTCATAAGCCATGAGGCGAAAGGGCATGCAATTACACCTGTCTGAGAAAAGCAGCAGCTGTCTAACAGAGAGGAAATACAGAGTTGTCTGTGCTTCATGCAGCAATTTAACACAAAATGCCTTGGCAGTCCTGAAAGGGAGATAAGAAATCAGGTGTGCTTAGCACAAGGCTCTTCTCTTGCAGTCTTGCTCCTGTGTTTTCAGCCCTTTATCTCCCACATTTGCCATGCTGCAGCCCTGCTCCTAGGCAGAGGGCGGCTTTGGCCACCTAAGTGCTGTCCAGTGAATCCCAAAGGCATGTGATAGAACCTCCAAAGCATCCTCAAAGCACACCTGGATAAATATAACAGCTATAGCACACTCCTAAAAAAAGAAAAGGTGTTTAGTCTTTCATGAATTCATCTGCGTAATCAGGCAGGGTTTTGAGGGTAATACCTCTGGACTTAGATGTACCCATTCTTTGCATGTCTCCAGAGACCAAAGTACTTTCCTGGAACTAAACCCTTCCCCTGCTCTACCCCAGTTCCCCATGTGCACATCTAGATAACAGCACTACCCAACCTCTTAGTAGTGCTCAAAAAGCAAATGGATTAAAAGTGGTTAGACACTGAAGGACAAGTTCAATGACACAAAGTACTTAACCTGAAGATTTGTCTGACTTTCCGAAACGGAAAAATTTCAGTTATCCCCTCCAAATATGCCATTTTAAATTCATGAGGTGTGTCCCATTATAAATCAGTACTCAAGTAAGCACATTCCTGCACATCAGTCACTATGTGCAGTGGGAAATGCCCACTGCTTATAACCTTGAATGGCCCTGACGTGAAAGATTATCTGCTGAAAAGTTTTTTAATAATCATCGTGATGAATACATTTTAAAAGTGGGCAGTCTGTTCACAGACAATCTGCAAACAGAAATAAGTATAAAAATAGTCATTGTGAATATGAATTACGAAATAATCTCGCCAAAAAGAAAATAAGACCTACAACAAATGCTGGATTTATTATATGTGAATATTGTACTTTCAGAAGTTCTGCTCAGTGTCTCTTAATTCAGCTTTCTTAACTTATTGCATTAGCCACTTTGCTGCTAGTCAGTAATATTCTGCAGAAAATGATATATATTGCAGATGACTACTAGAAAATAGGATAATCAGTTAAAATATTCTATAAAAAATATGCATATTCAAAGTATAAGCAATGAAGTTTGTAGAAATGTCAGTCAACTGCTAAATGCCTGGGTAAAGGATAGTGTCTCATGCAGCAAGCACAATGAAGCTGATTCTGCAAACGGGCAGAGGCACCTTTGGAAACATTTTGAAGATTTCTTGGTTGATATGGAAGATCCCACTTGTGTCCACTTCATATTTCAGTTTAGTTCCCAAAGGAGTGTTTTTCTGGGTGGTGAACAGAAAGGCAGGAGCATTGCAACACCTTGACAAAGTAGACCTGTGAAATGAAATAGAGGAACCAGATTGAGGAGACGATAGCATGATTCAGGATTTGGAATTGCAGTTACTCCCAGCAAGGTATTTTTCGGCAAAAAGAAATTTTTCAGCCGTAGGAGGGGTAAAATGGTGGTTTGATGGGATTTCCTTTAGAAAAATTCAGATTCAGTGAACCTTTCCAGGATTGAAAAAAACTATGGTAAAAATAATAATAAAAAAAGAGAATACATGAGACACCTGTACCTGTCTCTTCAAGGCTGCGGGAAATACATGTGCAAATTCTGCCCTGCTGCAGTCCCCAAAGCCGTGCTTCTGTCCCCAATATCCTGGGAAAACCGTCTTAATTAACTAGTCACTCTCTGCTTTAGAGGTCTTCCACTTTTTGCAAATTATATACTCATCACAGGACAGGAAACGTAGGGGTTAAAGAGTTCGTCTGGGCATGTGGAGGTTTGGTAGGGCAAGGACTTAAACACAGCAATACCTAAAGGCACTGACTCACTTACCAGCCTACTGTGGAGTACAGCACACTTCAACTACAAAAAACCCCAACATTTTAAAGCTGCTATTTTGCCTTTGGCCTTGCATATGTGCATCAGGAAAATGACGTGGCCCTGACAGATGAGTGCCAGGCAAACTGGTTATGTCTACAGCTCCAAAATCACAGACAAATGGCCCAATTTTCTTTGTCCCTGGGACAAAGTGGCAGGTATTCCAATGCAAACAAGACCTGTATGAAAATCACAGAATGAGATTCATGGCATGAGAGAAAAAACATTCAGCTCTGACCCTTTTGCCATGTTTCATATGAAATTTACATAGGAAAGGCAACTTTGTGAATA